TCCCAAAATTGTGACTAGGACTAAATTCAACTTTAGAATACAGATAAGTTTCAGAAAACTATTTAAATATTATATGAATGCCTTGTATGGGTTTGTGTATGAGTGTATGTACATGCAAGTACATAGCATGAGCAAGAAGGCACTAAGGCATTCACTTCAGTTCACCAGAGTTCCCACCATTCTCTCTCTCTCTCCCTGACACATATACACACACACAGATACACACACACAGACACACACACACACACACACTGTATTATCTGTATAGATCTTGAAGGTATATTGAATCTGTGACCCCCTGGATGAATTGATTTCTAAGGACTCTTCCTCTTTTGACATGCTGTGAATATATAGGCTATTATAGTGCCCCAAACCTGTTTCTAATTTGGACACATGACTAAAGTATTCTCATAGCTTCCTCCCTCTACTCTTCTAGATTTGATGCTAGTTACTGAATTTTGGAGTAAAAGGTGAGGATGGAAAGCAGGAAAGATATAACCCCAGCCTTATTCTTCAACTCTGTCATTAAGGCTAGAGGTAAGGTTCAGGGCTTCATACACCTTGGAGTGGCAGCATGATTCTAGAAAGAACATGGGTGGTATAGTCAGCAGACCAGGTTCAGATTATGAGGTTCAAATTTTTACTAGCTGTGTTAACCTTAGTTTACTTACTTGTAAAAAAAAAAGGTTTGGAAATGTCCTTAACCTTTGAAGATTATTGTGGAATTAAATGATGTAATGTGTTCATGGAGTGAGACACATAGAAAGCCCTGAAAAAGTGGCTATCTTTATTTCTTGTTGTTACCTCAGGCATAGGGCTAATTGTGTCTCTGTTCTCTCCCAGACTTGAAAAGGACTAAATGATCAGGCAATCCCTGATCTCAAGGCCAGAAAGTGCCAATAATTGGAAAGACGGGGTCCGCTTCTAGAATCTGTGCCAGGGTGGCAGATCCAGTAAGCACTACCAGTCTGTAGAGCTGCCTGCAAGAACTCATGTCAGCAATAGGTCATCTTGCACTTTGGGTTGATTTTCCAGACTACTATTTTATTTTATCCTAAGTTTACTCTATGCTCCTCTTGAACCACCAACTCCACCATTTTTCGTCCTCTTTCCTAGTTGTTGATCCAAACATGTGATCCATTCTTGAATTGAATTACACTATGATTGGAATTTGCATTGAAGGACTTATTTCTCTAATTAGACCGGCAAGTTAGTTTCAGATAAGTACTTTTTTCCACAGGAGCCAGAAAGAGATCAGCAGCAGGTTTTGTTGTATTTATCCATTTAAATCGAGCAATCCACTTTTTTTATATCCTTTTGAATTTATTATTATTATTATTTTAAAGGGATTAAAGATAAAGTGGTTTATGGTCTGCCCCAGTGCATCTGCCTACACTAGGCCTCAGAGTTATGGCCTCTTAAATTATTTATATCTGTGCCAGTATAAATGCTAGGGAGGTAAACATTAGGATGCCCAAGGACTTCTAAATTGTGTGTGTGTGTGAGCATGGGGGAAGGATGGTTTATAAGGTTTGAGTTTTGGATTATTGTTGTTTTAAATAATGTTATTTTTATCATTCTTTCTAGTGGTTGCCGCCTAGCATGGTTCCTATTTTACAGACAGATTAGAGGCAAGAAAATTCTATTATTTCTTTGTTACTGTTAGAGATTTCAGCTCTTCAGCTTCCCCTTGACCCCTTTGCTAAAGAAGAAAATCAATATGTGTTGCAGTGTATATTCACTATGGATGTAATATCTGACAATATCTGAGGCTATTACAGAGTTTAGTGGGAAATGCTGCAACTCCAGAAAATTCCTATTTCTTTAGCAAAAACATGAGCTGTTAGAATTTGGTAGTCTGAGGATGGGAAGAGAGGTTCAAGGCCATTTAAAAACTCATTCCCATCTGAACTTCATGTTTGAATTCTTAACCATTGTGCATGTAGTCTCTGCTCGATCATCTCTAATAAACACCAGGAGTGCCTAGCAACCATTCCATGTTCAGAGAGCTTTAACTATCAAAGTGTGTGTGTGTGTGTGTGTGTGTGTGTGTGTGTGTGTGTGTAGACAGAGAGAGAACTAATATCCAAGTCACTGTACTTTTTGGTACCCTTAGGGACCAAAAATATAAGTCTAGTTCTTCTAGACTTATGTGTGCCTTTTTATTCTCTTGACCTAGAAATCTGCTAGATATGCTAGACATAGACAAAACACATCCCTCTCTTGATTTAAAACATTCTGTATTTGCCTATTATCTGTAAGATAAAGCCCAAACTTCTTTTTTTAATTATATTTTATTGATTATGTTATTACAGTTGTCCTGATTCTCCCATTTCCCTCCTCCACACAGTACCCCCTCAGGCAATCCCCACACTATTGTTCATGTTTATGGGTCACCTATATACATTCTTTGGCTAATCCACTTCCTATACTGTACTTACCTCTCCATGGCTATACTATAAGTACCTATTTGTACTTCTTAATCCCCTCACCTCTTCACCCATTCCCCCACACCCCCTCCCATCTGGCAACCATCAAAACACTCTCTGTATGCATGATTCTGTCTCTGTTCTTCTTGTTTTCTTAGTTTGTTTTTTAGATTCAGTTGTTGATAGATATGTATTTTTGCCATTTTATTGTTCATAGTTTCATTGTTGTTGTTGTTCTTCTTCTTCTTCTTGCTCTTGCTCTTCCTCTTCTTCTTAAATAAGTCCTTTTAACATTTCCTATAATAATGGTTTGGTAATGATGAAATCCTTTAGTTTTTTCTGGTCTGGGAAGCTCTGTATCTGCCCTTTGATTCTAAATAATAACTTTGCTGGATAGAGCAATCTTGACTGTAGGTCCCTGCTTTTCATGACTTATTTCTTGACAATCCCTTCTAGCCTGCAAAGTTTCCTTTGAGAAATCAGCTGACAGTCTTACAGGAACTCCCCTATAAGTAACTCTGCTCTTCTCTTGCTGCTTTAAGATTCTCTCTTTATCTTTAACCTTTGGCCTTTTAATTATGATGTGTCTTGGAGTGGGCCTCTTTGCATCCGTCTTGTTTGGGACTCTCTGTGCTTCCTAGACTTGCATGTCTATTTCCTTCACCAAATCAGGGAAGTTTTCTTTCATTATTTTTTCAAATAGATTTCCAGTCTCTTGCTCTTTCTCTTCTCCTTCTGGCACCCCTATGATGTGAATGTAGGAACACTTGATGTCCCAGAGACTGCTTATAGTATCCTCATTTTTTTTTATTCTTTTTTCTTCTTGTTGCTCTGATTGGTTGTTTTTTGCTTCCTTATGTTCCAAATCATTGATTTGATCTTGGCTTCATCCACTCTACTGTTGTTTCCCTGTAAACTGTTCTTTATTTCATTTAGCATATCCTTTGTTTCTGACTGGGTCCTTTTTATGCTGTTGAGGTCCTCACTAAGTTCCTCGAGCATCCTTATAACCAGTGTTTTGAACTCTGCATCTGATAGATTGCTTATCTCCATTTTGTTTAGCTCTTTTTCTGGTGTTTTCATGTGTTCTTTCATTTGGGGCATGTTTCTTTGTCCCCTAATTTTGGCAGCCTCCCTGTATTTGTTTCTATGTACTAGGTAGAGCTGCTTTGACTCCCTATCTTGGTAGTGTGGCCTAATGTAGTGGGTGTCCTATAGGGTCAAGTGGCACAGTCTCCCCTATTCTCCAAGCTGGATACTAGAGGTGCGTCCTTTGTGTGGGCTGAATACACCCTCCTCTTTTAGTTGAGCCTTGGTTGCTGTTGGCAGATCAATGGGAGGGATTTACCCAGACCAGTCAGCTTTAAGGATTGACTGTGGCCGTTGACCACCAACCTCTGCCCTCCGTGAAGTTTCAGCTGTGCAGGGGCAGGGTGGTGGTGCTCTGGCATGGTCTGTAGCTGCCCACCAGGTGTGCTGGGGGGTTTCCTGGGTGGTGCAGGCCAAGGTCAGCCCCAACCTGTGTTTTGCTCCAGGCCACCCTGCCTGAGCTGTAAAGCAATCTGAGATGGCTGTTACTTGTTCTGGGCTTGGAGATTCCCAGGCAAAGCCAAGCTGTGAATCTAGTCCGGCTGTTGCTAGTGCTGGGCCTGGGATTCACTGAGGCCAGCTGTTGCTTGTTTGAGAGGATTTAGGAAGTTATGCAGTATGAGCCAAGACCAGCCATTCATAATGAAAAGCAGCTTGTGTGGGCCTGTAACTTGGGTGGGGCAGAGTCTCTGGGGATCTCCAAGGCAAAGCCCAAACTTCATAACGTGTTATACATGCCCTTTAAAAATCAGGTCCCATATTTGTTTTCAGCCTCCTAAATAGCCACTCTCTCTCTCTACACATGCAATATATAATTCAGCCACACTGATCTCTAACTTTCCCCCAAACACTCTTTGGTGCTTTTGTTTATGCTATTTCTTTTCTGCTCTGCCTGGTGAAACAGTCACCATTCTTCAAGGTCCCGGTCAAATGATATCATAGAGCCTTTCTCAACCCCACCTCTGCAGAGAGATTATTGTCTTTTTTTGTTAATGCCTTTGTTGTAACATTTACTGGTTTGACGTTTTAACTGCTTGTGAGTATTAATTTCTCCTGTATCAGACAGGGTTATGTTCTCTGTCCTTTTTGTCACACAGAAGAAAAGGCTGAACATTGAATCTCTGTTGAATGAATGAATGAATTGTGACTATATTAGTAAATGATGTAATTGAAGGTTCAAGGTATGAATACTGAAGACTGCATTTATGCAGAGCCCAATCCAAGGATATACTAGGTCTATCTGGCAAGGGGACTGGGGAGAGAGCAAGATATGAAATTTGAGTTTAGTAGGGATTTGGGATGATGGATCATTTATTCAACCAGGGTAAAACTGAGCATTTGTCCTTAAGGAGTTTAGAACCTCTGACCAGGGAGAATGAACATCCTTATTTTCTTAGCTCAGGTAGATTTTCTAACAGGGTAGCTGTGCTTTGTGTTTTTGGCCACTGATAATAAATCGAAGATTCCCTTTCTTCCCAATAGCTCGGAAGCTGAAGAAACTTGGTAATCTGAAACTACAGGAGGAAGGGGAAGTTTCCAGCGCCACCAGCCCCACTGAGGAGCCAACCCAGAAGCTGTCAGTGTCACATATTGAAGGCTATGAGTGTCAGCCTATCTTTTTGAATGTCCTGGAAGCCATTGAGCCAGGCGTGGTGTGCGCTGGACATGACAACAACCAGCCTGACTCCTTCGCAGCCTTGCTGTCTAGCCTCAATGAACTGGGTGAAAGGCAGCTTGTACATGTAGTAAAGTGGGCCAAGGCCTTGCCTGGTAAGGAAAACAAAGTGGGGACATTGGGATAAGGGTGATAATATTTAGTGAATGTCCTGAGTCAGACAGGTACCATGTCTGGTCTTTTCCTGCTAATTAACTCATGCAATTCTTACCATTACCCTATGGGAGTAGAGAATGCTATAATCCCCACTTTAAAAATAAGGAAACTCAGAAATGCAGCATTATACAGTGTCCCATATATCTTACATTGGCACACAGTGACCATGTATAATCCACAGATGTAGTGTGAAAAATTTCCCATAATCACAGATTACAGAGATATAACCTTTATATTTCTTAAGATGCTCTTCTCCATATGCCCACATATGCTCACCCCAAAGATAATTTTGAGCCTGACTGATATTCTGTATTCAATATTACCTTTCGGAGCGATATAATGAGAGTAATATGATATGGTATGGTAGAAATAACATGTGGTTGGGAGTCAGAACACTTGGCTTTTAGTCTTAGTGCTGCCTGTAAATCATTGTGTGGTCCTTTCCCTTTCTGAGTGTCAGTTTCTCCATCTGTATAATGTGTGAAGTGTGGTTTTGACTAAATTTATGGTTTTCAAATTTTGCTTTAAAGAACTTTAGTGCTCTTTAAAATACCTTGGAATCATAGTAAGAGGAAATATTCAGTGAATTCCTTGGTAATCAAAGAAATACAAAATTTTTGTCTAACTTCTGCTTGGATACTCCCAGTGATGGGGAACTCACTTCCTACCTAGGCCATCTGTTATTTGAATAGGACTGATTACTAAAATATTAGAGCTCAACAATCCTCTCTCCAAGTGTTCACAGACTTTCCTTTAGCAACCAAACTTATTTCTCAAAACATCATGCACAGATACAAATGGAGCTAGTTGATTTAAAACTAATGCCTCTCCCTCGCTAACCCCAGAGAAGCCTTGAGTTACTCTTGCAGAATCTTAGTACTCCAAGAAACACAGTTTGGAAACCAGTGGAAACATAAGCTCTGCCAGAGTTCTCCTAATCCTAAAGTCCTATGATTCAAAGATTCTTTTGAAACATCAACAACCAATCCAATTCTTATGGAATCAAAGATCAACATGCCTTCTAATAATAACTGCCATTCAGGTGGAAATTTATAGAAAACAGAGCAATTTCATATGCATTACCCAATTTGATCTTAATAAAAATCCCATAAAGTAGGGATTTGCCACCCCCCCCCTATTTTATAGATAAAAGACACTGACCCTGAGAAGTGATATGCTTGGCCTACAAGTACACAGTCAGAAAGTAGCAGGGCCAGAACTTGAGCCCAGGTCCCCTCCTGATTCCAAATCCCTTCCTCATCCCACTCCATCCATAGTCAATGTTGTGCTCCTGTACTTCTGTAACCCTGGGCTTCACAGTGAGAGGCCAAGGCCTTGTCCAAGGCCACTTGGATCATAATGTAGACTAACTGCCTTTGAAGACATTGCATGTTAGTCACCAAATCCCTATTTTGTTTTTGCAACTCACAAGGCCCAGTTGCAGTCACCAGACCATCCCTAACACCTTCCCAGCTTGGGAAGCTGGAAGCTGAGTTTGACTAGCCAATAAGATCACTGGGAAGAAGGCTCAAGGACTCTGGCTGTGTATGTACTGTGCCAAAACAGAGTTTTCACACAAGGAGAAAAAAATACAAAAAATAAAAACTGTGGTACCTTTACATAGTGGAATACTATGCAGCAGAAAGAGGGAACTCCTACCCTTCATGACAGCATGGATGGAACTGGAGAGCATTATGCTAAGTGAAATAAGCCAGGCAGTGAAAGACAAATACCATATGATCTCACCTACAAGTGGAACCTAATGAACAAAACAAACAAATGAACAAAATAGAGCCAGAGAGATGGAAATAAGGAACAAACTTACAGGGACCAGAGGGGAGGGGGGAGAGAGAAAATGGGGAAAAGAAGGGGAAGGATCTAGTCAAGGAACATGTATAAAGTCCCCATGGTAATGGACAACAGGGTGGGGACTGACTGAGGGAGCTTGTGGGGTGGGGCAGGGGAGAGCAATGGGGTGAAAATAGGGACAACTGTAATTGATCAACAATAAAAGAAGAGAAAGTTGCTTTAATTCTCACTTATTTAGCTGGTTGTCATTTGTGTAACAGAGATTCAGTTTAATCTTTCCAAGCAGTTGCCAAACACCTAAATTGTCCAATTTTATGAGATACAGAACCTTGTCCTATGTATGATTCTACTTAATCCTCATAGCAATCCTGTGAATCATAGGGACTGTTATTTCCATGTCAAATGACAAGGCTCAGAGAGGTTAACTAACTTGTTCTATTTGGTTGCTTAACAAATAGAGCCAGAACTTGGGCTCACACTCTCCGATTTCTAATTTGGTGGTCTTAACAATAATGTAGTGCAAATTATTTTGGCAGATTTTATATAATTAGGATAATTAGGAGTCACTGACTTTCCTTAGCCCAACCCCCAGGATAGGAAGTTCTCTCCAATATTAACAAGTCTGCAAGACAATATCACTTCACCATCTAGTTTATCCAATGAAATAATATCTGATCCTAAGTCATTTAAAAGAATAGTTTTGAAAAAGCCAGTTACCATGTTCATAAGACCTGTTAGTTATATTATCAGTAATCACCTAGTAGTTCAAGTTATTTGTTCATTCAACAGATTGAGTTCCTGTCCTGTGCAAGGCACTATACTGAGTACCTACTCAGATAAATTTTGTTGTAAGCTTTCCGTGGTGGTGGTTATATATGTAAATTGCCTAGAAGAGTACCTAGAACATTAATAAATGATAAGTATTGATTGAGGGTGGGTGAGTAGATAATGTGTATACAGTATATTTATAATCAGGTGTATCTGGTTTCAAATCTTAGCTATACACTAGTTGCTTGACTTTGATCAAATCACATGCCTACATGTGCTTCTGTTTCCTCATTTGTAGAGGTGGTAGAACAATCTCTACCTTGAAAATTGTTATCAACATAGAAATTTTGTATAAAGAGCACCTAGTACAGTATCTGAAACATAGTAGATGCTCTGTAAATGGTTGGTCATTACAGTGAGGCCTGAGTGGTAAGCCATTGCTTTCACTAAAATCAATTCAAGCTGCCACCAGCCTTGCATAGTAGCTCATGCATGGGTCCCAAGGATGAATTGTCTTCCTTGAATATGTTGGTTGTCCAGTTCACTATAGCAGCATAGATTTCCTAACTGGCCTTTCTTAGGTCTTGTGGTCCCTGACAAGACCTGAGACTACAGATTACCACTCCAGATTGCTAAGAAATTATGTTGATTGGATTATAATGAGAAAACAGAGTCTCAAAGAAAGTGCCTTCACTTTCAAACCTTTTTTGTGTGTTTTAAAACCTGAAAGTGACTCCTCTGTATTTCTTCAGAATAGCCTAACACAATGCCAAATAGGTGTTGAGTGTGTAGGTGCTGAAGGAAACTTATAGGCTGGAGCTACTGTTTCCTCAAGTCATCCCTTGATAGTTATGCTCTCTGAGCAGGCTACTTCAAAAGCTAGACACTAGAGAACAAAGTTAGGTGTTATAATCAGATCAGACCTATAGGAAAATTAGCCTACTTCATTGCTGGTACACACACAGTAAATAGACTTGAGTGTTAAACTGCTTTCTTTTTCTCTCCTCTTTGTTAGTTCTCTGGCACCTCGGGGAAGGAAAAAAGCATCAGTATAGACGGTTTCCTTGATACTTATACAGATTGATCCTCATCTCCCCTATTCATCTTTGCATTCACACACTCTCCAGACATGGCTTTACTTGTTTCCCATTGCCTCCCACCCCAGAGATTCAGAGTTTGAGTTCTCAAGTCCGCTCCTGAAGAGATCCCTGGATATTCTATAATTGGCCCCTGCATTTTATGTCATACTGGGAAGAGTCAGTACCAGGAATTCTGTCCTAGGGCTTCAGTGAGAAAACACTGTGGGATCTGAGGCTCCTCTACCAACTAGTCTGTCAGCATATCACTACAGGGAAGACAGGAGACACAAGCCTGGGAGCTAAGATTGCAGCCAAGGATGGTGATATGACAGACTCTAGAATACCTGATGTCTGATAGGCTTGGGACCTAAAAGAAAAGGGAAATGGCGTATGTGAATGGGCAAGGACCAATCAAACAGAACAGTGTGTCTACATATTGTAGACTTTAGGCCTGAGTCTATGGCTAAGAAAAGCTCATGCGCTCGGTAGCTCTTGAGCTGTGTCTTTCAGCAGTAGAGGAATAAACACTTGACAAGAGAATTAGAGCACCTCTATACCAGTACCAGTTCAGCCATATATAAAATATATGACCTTGGGGAAGTCAGTTAACCTCTCTGGCCGTCAGGTCCTTTGTTGCCAAAACAAGTGTCACATCGCTTATTCTCTAGGATTCTTGTCAGGATCAGATAAGGTTATCAAAAGGAAAGTTAGAAGCATTATCAAAATTCATGGAAGCGTTCCTAACGAAGTATAGCAAGACAGATAATCCAGGATCTGTTAGGGAGAATAGAATTGTGATGCTGGTAGAGGACAAGCCCCGAGATGATGGTTTAAGCATCCAACTCTTCAGAGACCTCCAGGAGAACATAACCATATCTGTCATACCTATGTGGTATTGTAGAGGTAGCATCTGGGAAACTTTGTTTCCTGAGTTTAAGGGAGGTAATTTAGAGATCATCCCACCTTATAAAATGAAAAGAAATTATAGTCCTTAGTCCATTAATTAATATTTTTGAAATGCCTGCTCAAATATCTGAACTGTGCTATGTACTAGGGAAGAAAAGATGAATAAGAGATGATCCCTGTCTTCGAGAAGTTTCAGCTCGTGGGAGAGACAGATGTGTATATAGATAAATTCCAATACTGTGTAATGAGTACTATAATTAGGTGGGGCTCCACAAGGTTCACTTAGAAAGTAAAAGAAAAATTATTAAATTTTCTGCTTAGATGAGTTAAAATATTCACAGAGGAGGTAGCCTTTCAGTAAAGACTTGAATGCTGAGTAGGTGTTTATCAGATGGGAAGCCTAGGGAAGGAGGAATGCATTCCAGACAAAGGCAACTACCTGTACAGAGATATAGAAACATCAGAAAGCATGTTGTGTTCAGCAAATTATAAGTTTTTCAGAATATGTAGAGCCTAGATTATGAGAAGGCAGATGGCAAGAAATTAGTCTAAGGAAGCAGGTCGTGAAGAGCCTGTTTGTGTGTAATAACAGCAATAGGACAGGAATGGCAGTAGAGTCAGAAACTATCAGGGCCAGGGTACTTGCTGAACAAAAAATAATGGAGAGAAAGTGGGAGGCAGAAAGAAGGTCAGAGAAAAGAGAGCCTGAAAGTGGTATGAAGAAGGCAGTGGCTGTCAAACACTTCCACCATATGCTGCTTTGTAATAATACCTCATTCCCAGGGTAGTTAGGGCATCAAAAAGATTATTACTAGAAAAGAGCTTTGTGAAGTGAATGGTGTTGTTTATGTGAGAGAAATAATTATTACACTGCATCTTCAGAAAGGCATAGAGATCTTGAGCACAGGCTTTGGAGTCAGACTGCTTGGTTTTGGACCCTGGCCTGCCAGTTGCTAGCCTTATGATCTTAGACAAGTTCCTTAACCTTTCTGTGACTCACTATTACTGATTCACAGAATGGGGATAATAATAGTACTTACTTTATTGGATTGTCGTGAGGTTTAAATGAGTTAATATAAGTAACATGCTTAGAAAGAGTGTATTCACTGAAAGCAGTCAGTGTTGTATTATTCTTTTCCAAGTGACAATGTCCTTCTTATCCCCCATTATCTTCTCATTTGAGAAACTCAGTGAGGTAGAGAAGGCAAGGAATATTATTCCCACCATATAGCTTGTTTTCCCCCTGCTCCCATGTAGTGAGGGCTCCTGGGGTTCTTCCTGGGTTGCCCAAGTGCCAGAGATTCTCAGGACAGCAGAGGTCCAGACTTCACCCAACCCATCATTGCCCAGTCTAACTATTGTTTCTTCCTTATCTGCAGGCTTCCGCAACTTGCACGTGGATGACCAGATGGCAGTCATTCAGTACTCATGGATGGGGCTTATGGTGTTTGCCATGGGCTGGCGATCCTTCACCAATGTCAACTCCAGGATGCTCTACTTTGCCCCTGACCTTGTTTTCAATGAGTAAGTGCTCATAGGCCCAGAACTCACATTAATTCATCATCATGCCCAGACCTGGTTGATGGTAATGATGGTAATAAGAGTGGTGGTTAGACCATTTAACCTATAGGTAAGACAGTAGAGGCCCCAGTGAGCCGGTACAATCTAAGATGCCTTTACCTGACCAGAAGGCTAACTGGTAGGCAGTCAGGAGATTCAGTCCTGAGGCTATCCCTTTCCCTACAAGATCCAACCCTGGTATTTTAGCCATGTTTCTGGCCTGCTTTGTAGCTTATCTCAAAATTTCATATCAAAGTACTTCCTCTTCACTCTGAGCAACATAAGGAATGGTCATAGAGACTATAGTTATGAGGACTGAAGTTCATTTGGTCCCTTTTGCTACATCAAGGGCTACTGCCAGTCACCATTTGTTGTGCAGCTCCTTTATGCTAGGACTATACTACTTTCTAAATTCTTTCTTATTGAGTCCTCATGAAAATTTGATTTCCCCTTTTTATAGATAATATTTTAGTGAATGAGTAAAATTAGGCTCAACAAAATAAAGTGACTCTCCCAAGGTCACACAGCTAGTACATGTTGCTGACAATTTTCAAAATATGTCTCTCAGTTCTTATATTGCTTCATGGCAGCTAGTGATGGGGAGGAGCTCCACCACTTGCTGACCATGTGACTGTGGCCCAGACACTTATTGTCTCTTAAACCCAGGTTTAATTAATACTTGTTCTGCCACCAATTCTATTTATCCTTGATGAATTTGTCCAAGGGCTCAGATTTTGAAATTACATTTTTCTCAATTAAAATCTGTTTTGTTATTTTTTTACATCATTGTCTCTGGGCAGGACCTTTAATTTCTATGACTCTCGGTTTCCTCATCTGTTAATAAAATAGAACTTTTTCAAATGGTTTGTTATGATCGCTCAAATGGGAGCTAATGAGTATGAAATATCTGGCCCATAATGGACAATAAGTTAAAAAAAAAAAAAGAAGTACCTTTCGAATGTTCTCTCTAATGGTGATATTCTTCTATACTTCTTCTGTTTGGGGTCCCTTGATGGCATTGTAAATGGATCCAGTCAGAAATATCTTGCCAAGGACCTTGAACTAGTCTCGCCACAGAGAATCCCTTTGGTCAGGACAAGAATTGACCTTCCCTCCCCTCCAGCCCTCTAACTGAGAAGAACCTTAAAATAAATTCTACAGGCCAGTAGTTCCTTCTAGTACAGCAGTGCCATGTGGAGCAAAATAAGCATCCCCAGTTACCCTCCTCCAACTCAGCCAGCCCTAATAGCCAGAAGCTAAGAATAACCATTGGGCTTTTGGCACGACCTGCTTTGTGGTTTCCAGATCTCCAAAGAGTTACCCATGATGCTGTCTTCTGGGGCAGGCCTTAAAAAACCCCATTCCTATTCATCTCTCACCCCCATCCTCCTGCTGCCCTCCAGTGGTTGAATCAACTTCCTGGGCACCTGCAACACCCTTCCCATCCAATGCCCTAAGACCTTTGTAAAATTATAATTGGGTAGTTTCTAAATTCTCATTTCCTTTTCTGACTCTGCATATGTATGTGGTACCCCTCAGCTTTCTAGCCCACTCTCATGGATTTCATCAAAAGGTACCACAGGACTGCCCACAGGGTCCTAGACCCACCAAGTGTCAGAGCTTCTGAAACAACAGGTGCTCCCTTCTTCTGTAGAAACCCACTACGTTAGAGCTCTTTGCATTCTTACAAACATCTAATATTTCTCTAGATATGCTGTTGACATTTTTGGAAGAATAGTTTTTCATTGCATAGGAAGTGCCCACATATTGGAATATGTTTAACATTCCTGGCACCTGTCCACTTAATACCATATAGAATTCCAGTCACTGTGACAGCCTAAACTGCCCTGACATATTTTTAGCACACCATAGGGAGGCAGTACTTCTGCAGTTGAGAGCCACTAATTGTTGTTAACCTTTCTAAGGTACTACTAATGGAGAGAGTGAAGCCCAAAAAGAGAGACAGGAACTCTGAGCCAACCCATTTGTTGATCTCTCTGACACCAAACCCTATCATCAGCCGTGCATTCTTCCTTCTTCCTGGCTTCTTTGAGGGAAACACATGTGAGGGTAATGAGCTTGAATTCTAGCTGTATGACCCTGGGTAAAAATTTTACTTTCTTGAATATCAATCTTCTCATCTGTTGAATGATGAATAGTACGATAATGGCATTGTCTTACATGTCATTTATTGAGCACTTACTATGTGCCAGGCAGTGTACTAAGTGTTCTTCAATTTTCATCTCCCCTGTTATCTACTCTCCTTTATTCCCATCTAACTCTGTTCTCCTGAATTCTATTCCGCCCTCTTATTTTCTACCTTCCACTCTCTAATCCCTTTCTTTCCTTGAAACTCTCTATTTTTTTGCCTTTTCATGTTCACTTTTCTTCTGAATTTCTTCTGTTGCTTTTCTCTGTTTTCTCCCCATCTTTCCCTAATTTTTCTGACCCTGGTGCCTACAGCAGTGTTACAGTAGTCCTCCATGTCAGGAGTATGATTTCAATGGTAAGTAAAAAGACTGCAGTGTTGTCATCAACAGAGGCATGGAAGTACAACAGAAACCAGAACAGGCCCAGGCCTCAGGGTCAGCAGATGTTATTCAAAAATTCTCTAGGATGAAAGAGCTTGAAGCAATGCTGTTCTGGTCTAATGACTTGTGATACTACCTAAATACTTCCTTTTTCCAGTTGAGCTCCAGTCTGAATTGAATATTTCTACACCATCTGCCTCCTTCCTTCTTTCTTCAGGCCAGCCAAGATCTCTCTGAGATAGAGTGTTGAGCTTCCATTCACACAGTGCCAGAGCTGCTCAGGCTGTGGACTACACTAGTGGTTTGGGAACCAAAATGTTAAACCACAGCATTCATGCCCAATCTGGGAGGTTTTTGTTTCAAATTCCCTTCTCTTTCTCCACAAGGTATAATATCAATTTCTATCTCTCCCTCTCCCTCTCTTTCTCTCCCTCTCTCTCTTTCTCTTTTATACACACACACACACACACACACACACACACACACACACACACACACACAATTTGTGAAATGCTGAAAACCAGGAAAGACTACTAGCAGGAGGATGTTGTATCTCCTCTTAGAGACTTGCTATAGCCCATCAAGGAACAGAAAGTTGGCTCCCCCCAAGAAGCTGTCCAAGGCTTGGCCACTTCCCTATATAATTTATAGGCGATAATATGGTGATTTATAGTTCACAAGTCACTATAATGAAAGCAGCTCACACTGTAACTCCCAAACTGTAGTAAGGAACAGCCAATATATGAGGGAATAGGCTGCCCTACAGCAGGGGACATTTAGATTGGACATTCAGAAACACTTCCCAGATGATTTTATAAGCATTGTAAGTCATTTGGAAGAGACAATGAGGAATCTCCTTCCTTAGAATCATTTAAAGAAATATTTAAATTTCTACTGTGAGAAATGGCATTCAAGTCAAGAGGCAAGGAAATTGACAGGATGAACTACTGTAGTCACTTGGGAATCCTGGCACCCGTAAGTGTTAATTTCTAATGCCTATCTCCTAGAAATCCTCCAATTTGGAATGCCTGGGAGGCAGGTTCTGGCTCTGGCTGGAGCTGGGATATGAGAAATGTAGTCAGGGAGACCATGTGCCAGACCCATTGTATTCATTTGGTTAGACATTCCTGTCCTTGTCTCAGGAAACAGGAGGGACAGGGGGACCTGGAAATTCCATGTGCTAACCCATATCCTGGCCAGGGTAGATGAGTAGTTATCAGAATGTCAGGATTTGAGAGGGGGTACCTTTTTCTTGTCACTGAAGTACCAGAAGAGAAACATTAAGCTCCTCTCTGAGAACTTGGGGAAGAGAGAGCAACCAGAGACATCCTCTGGGCTTATTGTAAGCCTTCCCTCATTTCTGTCCTTCCTCTGTGTGTCTCTTTCTCAGGTATCGCATGCACAAGTCCCGGATGTACAGCCAGTGTGTTAGAATGAGGCACCTCTCTCAAGAATTTGGATGGCTCCAAATCACCCCCCAGGAATTCCTGTGCATGAAGGCCCTGCTCCTTTTCAGCATTAGTAAGTGGCCAGAGGGGTAGGGAATGCTCCTGGGGGCTTAGGATCTCAGAGAAGAGCCACTTTTTTCATTAAAGGGTTATCAGCTCCTGGACATTGCCCTTCTTCATTCACTCTTCTTGCTCCCCTCTTCCTTAGCATCATTTTTCCTAACAAGGATACATTTCTTAGCCACAGACCAATTTCACTGCTAAAATTCATCCTCCATTAGATTTCCATCTACCCCAAGGCTCCCTTTGGGACAAAGCCTTTTTGGCTGATTGCAGCAGACCTCTGAATTTTTTCGGACCTTCTATCATAGAAACAGACAAGGACCACATTATATTTTTTGTAGAGCAGAAGGGATTGCCTCCTAGAAGGAACTTCCTGTTCTACCAACAGGAGAAGGTATATGTAAGTAACTCATACAGGGTTTATTTAGCAGTCAAGGAATGTTTTTAACATCTCTTCTAAGCAGAGTGGTTTGTTAGCCTCTATGAGGGAAAAACAAGTCAAAATTTGATATTCAAAGTCATGTGTGTTAATTGTCTAAATCAGGGCTGCACTGTGAACAATTTAAAATCATAGTTCCTAGGAAATGTGTATGTGCGAAGACTAGAAAAAAGGAAGGCTCGGTAAATTGTATTTACTTGATGCCCTTCAAGTTGAGTCCAGCTAGCCTTTTCCCTAAGACATTCAGACTTCAACTGCAGGAAACCAAGTAGATGATTCCCTCCCTGTGGGGGTGGGGGTCAAGTGTGTGGTCAGAAAACTTGGTGCTTTGTCTAATGCCCCTTGTGGGCATGCTTCCCCTCCCCATTCTGTCTTCATCCTACATCAGTTCCAGTGGATGGGCTGAAAAATCAAAAATTCTTTGATGAACTTCGAATGAACTACATCAAGGAACTTGATCGTATCATTGCATGCAAGAGAAAAAATCCCACATCCTGCTCAAGGCGCTTCTACCAGCTCACCAAGCTCCTGGATTCTGTGCAGCCTGTAAGCAAATGATGGAGGGTGCTTTGTCAGAGAAAGCTGCCTGATAGAGCCAAATGATAATATGTTCTTCTAGGGCCTGGCACCACCTGTTGGGAGGTGCTTCCATTATCTTCTGTCCGTGAATGTGGTCCAGGAAGAAAATGCAAGGGAGAAGAAAGGAACACAAGTCACAATGTCCCAGCTGGATGTTGGGAAAGAGGTAGAGGAGTTGAGAACAGAGCAGTTGGGACTTAGGGAAAGGGCTTAGAGCAGATAAGTTCTCTAAGCAGACAAAACACCTAGATGTTATTCTGCTCTTCCTTGAGTTGTATGTGTGAGTGTTTGTGTGTGTGAGCAGTTCTTGTTTGTGAGTGTGTGTGTATGAGAGAGAGAGAGAGAGAGAGAGAGAGAGAGAGAGAAGGCAAACAGGAGCATGAGCCCTAGGGGAAAGGAATACCCAGTCCTGAGTCAGAGAGCTTACAGGCATGTAAGTGATCTCTTGGGAGCCCTCACTGACTCCCTGTAGGCCATTTAGTGCACACACACACACACACACACACGTGCGCGCATGCACATGACCAAAGACAGGGAAAGAAGAGCAAATCAAAGGTGGGGATAAGAGCCTGATTAAGCCAACTCCTTGACAACCCTGTTTTCTTGTATCCTCCCTCTCTTATTCCCCCCTACAGATTGCACGAGAGCTGCACCAGTTCACTTTTGACCTGCTAATCAAGTCTCATATGGTGAGCGTGGACTTCCCAGAAATGATGGCAGAGATCATCTCTGTGCAAGTGCCCAAGATCCTTTCTGGAAAAGTCAAGCCCATCTATTTCCACACTCAGTGAAGCTTTGGAAGCCCCCATTTCTTCACCCAACCCCACTTCCCTTTTCAGATATTTTCTGCCTGTTATAACGCTGCACTACTTCTCTGCTGTGCCTTGGGGAATTCCCTCTATTGATGTATAGCCTATTTCTGAGTTCTATTTGCTAGGCTTTTTTCTCTTTTCCTTCTTTCTTTTTTCTCCCTCCCTGTCTAACCCTCCCATGGCACTTTGAGACTCTGCTCCCTGCCATGGCTCTTATCTGTGTTTTGAATGGTGTTGTATTTCTTTAAATCTGTGATGATCCTCATGTGGCCCAGTGTCAAGTTGTACTTGTTTATAGCAAGTGCTATACTTGCAAGTGCACACTGTGCTGTGTGCCAACCACACAAACGTTTACTCATCTAATGCCACGGGAAGTTTAGAGAGCTAAGAGTATCTGAGAAAACAAAAACTAAAACAAAAAAAAAAAAACCAAAAAAAAAAAACTAAAAAAAAAAACTAAAAAAAAAAAAGAAAAGAAAAAAAACTAAAAAAAAAAACACACACACACACAAAAAAAACCTTGCTAGGATATTTTTCCTCTTAAAAATATAAAAACAAACCCCCAAAAGAAACTAACAGTGACTAGAATAAGGTGAATATTACAAGACCATGGGAAGTCACTGCTTTTTTCCCAAACCCTCCTCCCAGACTTTATTTTCTGCCTATAGCTATTGCCATTAGAGGGCAGGGTGACCCCAGAGTTGAGCTGGGGAGAGGGGAGAGACAGATTTAAGACAGTCAAAGATGACAGCTAAATCACCAGTACTTGACTACAGTGTTGGTCTCTGATATCTAGATTCAACTTCAGTGCAATTCATTGTGCTGAAAATGTCCTTCTTGTTTGAAAACTTGTCTGCATGTGAATGCCTCCCCCATCCCAATCTCTTTCTCTCTCACCCTCTGCATCCACCCTCAAATTGACTTTCAATAGCTTTTCTAAGAACTTTGAACACATGTTCTCTTTAGCTAAAACTTGGCCATTTTCAGTGAAGCGTCAGACCAGCGAGGGAGAGGAAAGATCTGACCCTTGGGAAGGCCCCATTAAGATACAGGTATGCTTTCCCATTTATGGGCCAAGGAGGAGCTTGGGGCTGCAGTCAGAGGAAAAGGAATGGGTGGCTTGGCTCTTCTCTACTTAGGACACTGAAGAATTGATCCTACTTTGCTACATCTTTTAAAGACCTGAATGCTTTCAACCTGACTCCATGCAGCTGCAAGATCCCTCCAACCTCCCTTGAGTGTTTTGTGGGCCTGAACTTCACCAGCCACAGTGGTGAAGCTTGTCTACTTCTCTAGCATGTTCAAACAGACTCTCTGCTAAGAGCCCTCACAACCAAGAAGGCTAGCAAGCAAGCAGACTTAACATTTATCTCTAGATGCAAATAGACTCAAAGACTTCTAACCAAGTATCTCTCATTAACTATCAGATCTTCTCTGGAGCCCTTAGACAAACTGGAAAGAAGGCATCAACCTGATTGGACAAATTGGGCGACTTGCCCTTGTCCCCCAGAGATGGTACTTTCCTACCAAGTGGATAAAGGCCCACTTTCTCCTTCAGAACAGCTAACAGGGCTACCCAGATTAGTGTTAAAGAGAAACTTCAACTACCAGGCTGGGAAGAATGAAGGCACTAGAACCAGAAACCCTATAAGTGCTTTCCTTGACACCCAGCATATCCACTTGCAGAAGTCATGAGAAGAAGAGAGAAGAAACCAAGAGGAGACTGACTACTAAATTAAAGTCTTCAGAGGCAAAGTTTAAAGCCAGATGGGTGCCATCTGGTGAGTTTACTCATCCTCCTCCTCTGCTGCTGATTCTGGGCTCTCACTTTGGCCATACTCACTCAGACTCCCCACCTATGTTGCTGCCTGTCAGCCAGAGGGAAGCTGAAACATTGAGACTACAGAACCATGACCTCCTTTGGAAAGGTCTGGTTGATGTGGCTCCAGTGGGCTGCCACCCATGAACTCAGGCTGTGTTCCTGGGACACTGGTTTCATATAGTCCTTTGGCACACCTCTGTTCTGTTGACTTCGTCCGCCAAACCTAAGAACAGAGGGAATGTTCACCTAGTTTCTCATCTTAGCTGCTGCCTCCTAACTTAGCTCTTAAATTCAACTGCTAAACTCAAGAAATTAGGAGGCAGTCAACAAACTGCCCATTTCAGTTGGTTTACTTTACTTGTTGAGGAGATAGTTTCTGAGTGATATGATATGATCTACATGGGTTTCCTCCCCTGATTTCTGTGTTGATATTAATAGCCAAAAGAACTTGCAAAACAGCTTCTTTAAATAACAAGGGAGAGGGGAACCTAAGATGCGTGGTATACCAATCCCAGACTGCTGGATAAAACTAAAGCTGACAGGTTCTGTTTCTGGCGTAAGATAGACAAATTATGGTTTTCTTTGTTATAACGCCATTTGACATATAAGCTCACAGGATCACTTTTAGCTATTCTAAACAGAAAAAATACACCACTCTTTTCAGTTAAACTAGGCTACATTTTAATAATTCCTTTATATCTGTTTTGAAATGATTTTAATCTTTTGTGGTACATGGATTTCATGATATCATTCTAATACCTCTCTTTGGAAAGACTAGAGTCTTTCTTTTCCATTTCTCTCACTACCAAATTTTTCATCTTTAGAGATTTCTTAATTGTGACTCTTGTCCTTATGAATATGAATATATATATGTTTTTACTTGTGAAAGCCAAAAATCAGTGTAATTAAAAATAACAACTGGATTACTCCTCATTTCCAAATGGCAAGACTAGGGAAAAACAGCCTAAAGAAGGCTTTAGGCCTACTGTTTTTGCACTGGGGATTCTATGAGAACTATTTTAGCTTGGCTTTGTTCTCCCACAGATGAAAGAAGGAATTGTTTTTGTTTTGTGTTTTTTTTTTTTTGGCCATTTATGTTCCAGGAAATGTAAATGACAGAAGTCTCATTTTGTATGCACTCTGCTCTAGAAACTTTAGAGTTGACACGGTTGGTCCCCTGTGCTTACCTGTGAAGGATTGGCTACCCAGAACCACTCACCTGGTGAGCTGGAAAATGAAGATCACTCACCAGACATGTCACAGTGGCTATCTCCAAAGAGATTTGTAGTGCTCAATGGGGATGGAGAGTGAGGAAGAGAGAGAGAAAAAAAGGAACACCAGGGAAAAGGCCCTGTCTGTGTGGACAGTGGACAGCTGCCAGGGTCACAAATGCTGTGGTCAAAGAAAAGAGTCGTGTGGCAGTTTCAGCTCTTGTTCATTGGGCAGCTCGCCCAAGCGTGGCCTCTGAGCTGAAATGGTGATTGGATTCTTTGTTCCATAGCTTTTCAATGCCGCAGACAGTGCCATTTTTCTTGTAAAGCTTATTATTTTTTTAATGAGAAAGGGGTTTTTTGAAGGATTCTGTCATATCTCTCTGAAAAAATCAGTAATACATATATTTTTATATATGTTCACTGGCACTAAAAAGGAAAAAAAAAACAGTTTTGCTCTGTCCCTCTGTCCTTTGGATAGTTGCTAAGGGTTGAGAAATAATGTGCTGATGCGAGAGTCCCTCTCTGTCCATACTTTATTTCTAAATGCATATATACATATATAGCAAGAAGAATTCTATTTGTTTTTCAAGAGAAAGTAGTTTTGCCATCCACATGATATTGACATTACACAAATGACCTAACTTAGAGCTTCAAGTAGCTTCTGTTTGTTTCATTAGGCATAGCACAGACCTGGCCTTGCCTTCTTTTCTTCCTTGATATTTCGCAGGGCACAAAAGCCCGAGCTACTCCCTTTACCCCTTTCCAAATTTGTGCCACAATTGCACTTTATAAGATTCTCTCCAGACAACTCAGTAACTATTCCTGCATGTTTCCTGCATAGCCCTGGGAAAACAAGAGGTTGACTACTAATTATCCTGTGCCAGTTGTCCAGATGAAAAGGCACTGAGCCAAGGGAGTGGCCTTCATGCTTGACCCCCTGTAGGGAGTCATGGGAATCAGGATTGCTAAAGCACAGGATCGAATCCCAAAGTTGAAGTCAAAATAAGCCATTTTGCATGTGCAAGTTCTTGTAAAAGGAACTTTCTACCCCTGCTGCCTTTTATAGGCAGTTCTGTTCTCATCACTAATCTCTTTGAAAATCTTTGAAAGATGTTTAAAAAAAGACAAAGAGATGAGAGCATCACATTATGTAACCAAAGATTACACTGTATCTGCTAAGATACGAAAATTTTTAGGATCAGGGAGGGAGTAAACATTAGTGCCTCTTTGGTAAGCTATCCAAAGACAGATTAGAGGACTTGGCTGGTGACTAACTTATAACAGATCTGTGGGACAACCCCCCCCCACCACAATATACATGTTTAGAAGAGTGGAAGGTATTTTTTTAAATGAGATTATGGGTTCTTCACTAAGTGATTTTATAAGCAGAACTAGCTTTCCTTTTCTCCAGTAGTTGTTGAGCAGATTTTTAAAGCTCCACCATTGCATGGTTGGAAATGGAGCTGTCTCAGCCACTGTGTTTGCTAGTGCCCATGTTAGCTTATTTGAACATGTGAATACCTTGCTGAGAAAGGGAGCATTAAAGGACTAGATTTCTCATTAGAAAGACAGCAGGCAGAAATCTTCATTTCTGCCCACTTTGGAAGACACAAAAAGTCCTCTGTGGTTTAAGGAAGACAGTTGAAATATATTGTAAATGAGTATTTGTATCCATGTTTCAAAATTGAATTATGTATATAAATATTATGTGTTCTGATAGCTTTACCTTTCTCTGCACCTTTATATTTCATTGCAGGTCACAAATGATACCATGTACTTGTGAGATAGGCTGCAGTTACATTTTGGAAGCTCTCAAAATGTAAAAGACACCTTGGTTAATCAGATAACTAAGAGTTCTCTGTCCCTATTGGGGTCTGACCCACAGGGCTTGCAAAGAAGCAAGGGTGGGAGGAATGGTAGGGTACATGATATATTGCACTTTACTAGCCTGAGACTAGTGAATGTTTAAAGGATGGTGAAAAGGTATTGGAGCTGACTGGGATTTACTATAAGGAAGTCCCAGAATTGAGGCCAAAGGCCCACCAAAATAATTAGCCAGTGGCCCCCTAATGGGACTTGAGCAGTTGGAATAAGGGAAGACATTCTTTGTTCTTCACCATCCTTGTGAGAAAAGGACAGTTTACTACACTTGGGAACCTGGGGCAAGTGCTCCATCTTTCATATAATTTACCGACCTGCGACTGAAGTGCTCTTGCTACTGGGTGTCTATGTTCTTTGATTATGGTTTGGGTATGTTCTATAAAGATTTTGACAATGAAAATCTGTTTTTCTCTGTTAACAATTTGATAATGTACTAGAAGTAATATGTCTGTAGGTACAGGTTTGTCTCTGCCCACAGGTAGGGGTGTTTTTCTTCAATTCAGAGATTGACACTGGGGTCCATTGCTCAGAGGCTCCCAACACTTAACCATTTCTAGGTGAAAGCAGAAAAATCCACATTGTTCACCCCTCTTCAGACACTTCAACTGAGATAACAAAACGTTGGAAATTTTCCTGTCCACCAAAGTGAATCGTAAGTATTTGAATTGAGCAGGTAGAGTCTTAAAGGGATAACACCCTTTGACTCAGCTTCAATTTATCCCCATTTTGGTTTGGCCAGAAAGTAAAAACACATATTGACTGGTTTCCAGCCCCAACTCAGTATAGCAGGGGCACTGGTTCCATTCTTAATCCCACTTGTCCCTTAGCTTTTTATGGAATTAAATGAGAAGCTGTGGACTAAGTGGTCCTTGTGGCCTAAAATAGGTCCCATATGCACTACTTAACAAGGATGTCATATAGCTGCAGGTTCCATTGGCCACCAAAGAGCAGAACACACACAGACCCTACAGAAAATTCTGGAATGTTGCTGCTTCTCAGGTGGTGTCGTCTTTGTCGGATGCTTCATACTTTAGGACTGTGTTTCCTGCCCAACAGAAAGGGCAAGACTTCAGTCTCTCTCAACCTTATCCCTTGCTGCTAACTTTCCAGTAGTGAGGTGCCTGTGGGCTTGTCCTATCCCATAAGCCATTCAGGTGCTGAGAGCAGTCTCCATTGGGATGGCCCAAGCTAAAAAAGAGCCCCTTCAGCACCCATTGACACCCTTCTGCTTTCTCCTAGACTGGAACATTGATTAGGGAGTGCCTCAGACATGACATTCTTGTCCTGTCCTTGAGATTAATTTGGGCAGCAGGGGGATGCAGATTGTATAACCAGATGTAAGAATTAATTTTAATATTGAGGAAAACAAGAAAAACAGAGAAAAAGCATCATATAAAGATTTTTCCAAAGAAACATTGATTTTGCTTGAAACTTGTTTCAACAGAGCTTCAGTTCTCACAGCAGCACTTGGCCTCCACAGGGCAGGAGGACCAGCCCCAAGCGTTACTGTTCTGTTCTCTTTTTGTAATCGTGGAATCTTTTGTTGCTCTAAATATAATTAAAAATGGCAGAAACTTGTTTGTTGGAATACATGTGTGACTCTGGATTTGTCTCTGTGTCGGCTTTCAGAAATGTCATCCATTGTGTGAAATACTGACTTGCTGGTCTGCCAGCTGAAACTTGGCCACAGCCCCTGTTGTGGATACAAGCTCGAGTTATTGTTAACAAAGGGACTCCAGAAAAGCTGCTAATGCCCTCTTATCACCATCGTTAATTTGTTAAAACATAAAACAATCTGAAATTTCAGATGAATGTCATCAGAGTTCTTTTAATTTGCTGTTTTTATTGGCTCTCTTTATTGAAATCAAGAGTTGGTATCATGCCCAGTTACCTTTTATACTACTTTGATTTTCATATACACCTTTTCCAAAAAATCTTTGCACAAGGCTTATAAATTTGATCTGTGTTGGCCTTAGCATAGGTTGATCTAGGACAACTAAATATCAAAGGGTCTGAGCTAGAAAGTACTGATGGACACAAGTGGCCCATTACAACCTCTTATCAAAAACCCTGAGCTTGCCAACCAGGGAAAAGCCACACAAAACCCAGCTGTTCACCCCATTTTCATCTTTCTGGGAGTACAAAATGTGTACGGGCTTCACTGCCCAGTTCTTGTCAAGCTTCAGATCAGGAATGGGCATGTCCACATCTTCACTCTTTTTCAGGGGTCATGTCATCCTGGACCACCCAGGTACAACTTGGGACAGCATTCTTTTGGGTTTCCAAAAGTTCAAACAAGGTCCCCTCCTGTTTCATCTCAGTATGAATAGTTATGAGGCTCCAAAATGAATTTCTGAGCTTGATATATAGGCCATCAATTAGGTAAGACAGATATGATATGTTAAAGAATAATATGAAAGCTTTTTATGCCTCAGTGTCCTCACCTATAATAGAGGTTGTCACATTGTCTTTCTGCTGGACTGGGTTGAGGATTCAGTAAGAATGTATGTGACCCAGCTGGTGGGCTTACTTTTCTGGCTCTGCTCCCTGTTTAAATGCTGGAATCCCCAAGATGGATCCCTTATTGAGCCATGTTTGTCATTGACCACCTCAGAGTTGATGGGTTTCTCAAAATTTTCCTGAGAACAGTGCTTGATGGACAGAGGAAATCGAGGTCCTTGGCATATGTGTTTGTATGTGTCTAAGTAAAGGAGAGGGAGGGGGGAGGAGAGAGAGAGAGAGAGAGAGAGAGAGAGAGAGAGAGAGAGTGTGTATAAGTAGAGCCTGCCAGCTGAGGAGCCCCTCTGACCATCATTGTTTATGTTCTCGTCTCTTGGATCTACTGACAATGACCTAACAGCCACCCTACTTCGTTTAATTTACCACTCAGCCCCTGCTGAAATTGAAAAAGTAGTTAGCATCCACTGTAGATTTCCCAAAGAGTAGCAAAGCACACAGGTCCAGGAGACAAGGACACCTAGTGGATTAAAAAGAGCCTAGAAGTAGGAGTCCTGTATGTGAACTCTAGTGTATAACTACAATTCTGACATGTTGATATGATGCTGGGAAACCCGCTTTCCTTTTCTGGACCTTAGTTTTCTCATTTATGAAATGAGTATCTGAAGGTATGGAATAAGACTAGAAGAGTTGGGAAACCCTTTCATTGTGGACACCATGGCTATTACAAACAGCAACACCTTTCTTAATCACTGACAGTCAAAGAAAAGAAAAGTACCTTTTTTTTAATCCCTGGAATATACAGTTTTGAAACTAAAATCTACATGTTTGTACTCAACAAAAATTTACTGAACACCTACAGGGTCAAAACAACAATTGAGTTCTCTGTAATAGATGCTGTCAACCTCTTCATGGGTGGAGATAATGCTCAAAAATGAAATAATTTGTTTATATTTAAATGACCTCAAAAATACAAGAGGTAAATAGGAGTTAAATAAGTCACAATCTATTCTTTCAGTGAGTTTAGCCTATTAAATGTGTTAGATCAAAGCAGTCCAGGATTTCAACCTATCACAGCCATCCATCAGGCAATACTGGAATAACCTTTGATTCATTCTTGATGCCTTTTAGAACCAGAAGGGATCTTAGCATCTAGTCAAATTTTTTATTCTTCCCATGAGGAAACAAGGCCAAAAAGCTTGTTGAATGTTATTGTGAATTTAAGACCCATAGTAAGGGACGAGCCCTAGACCATTCAGCTCGTGGACCCTTTATGCGCCTGCAGGTGGCATGCTATGGTGGCAGAGCACATGAGAACCTCTACTATACACTTGCACACTGGCCCAGACCCCTGATGAGAGAGTCTCCATTTCTCACTTATGGTTTCCATGTATACAGCCCAAAGATCTCTACTCCTAACACAGCACCCACAGCACCTACTTCACCTACCACCCACTCCCAGAGGATTTTTGCATGCCACTTCAAGAATGGTTGAGAGAAGGAGAGAAATCAGAGATTACAGAAACAATGAGAAACATTTAGAAAGCACACTGACGTATGAAAACAATGTTTTGACTTAACAGGCAGATGAAAATGATTCAAGCCCTTAGATTTTCCTACTACCATGCATGCTTTATTTTTTTAAGCCACAACTTTTCCCTCTTCCCTCAACTTCTTTCCCAGGTACTTCAAGCAAGCAAGCTATTTGAAGAATTTGGTCTGACTGCCAACCAGCAAGGCTATATCAAATAAGCTAAGTGAAACTGTATGCAAACGTCCCCCCAATACCCACTGAATCACTTCAAATCTCAGAGCAGAAAATGGGCCAGCAGAGCAGGCAGATGCTCTGAGAGACCATTGCCTACCACCCGGACAGTGACACTTGTCGCTAAAAGAAGCAAGCCCTTTTAATGTTTATACACAATGCCAAGAATGGGTAAAGCCAAGGACGAACTAATCTTGTAGGAGAATCCCACCACTTCAAAAAATTGTAGGGACTACTCACATGGGCACAAAAGCCAATCATCCCCTCATTCATTTGTTCATTCTTTTATTCAATAACTATTTCTGCAACCATTATGTATCCCACACACAAACAAAACAGACATGGTTGTTATCCTCATGGACCTTTCAGTCTAGGGGAAGAGACAGACAGAGACAGACAATTGTATTATAATGTAATTGCTGCTGTGGTAAAAGAAGTTCAATGTTTTGTTGGAGTGCAGAAGAAGGATGTCTAGCATAGCCTAGTGCTTAGTTCAAGGAAGGCTTCTTAGAGAAGTCTAATCTGTGACCTAAGTTGAATGAAAATGAAGCTGAGGTGGGAAGAAAAGCATTCATTTTTAGGTAAGAGACAGCAACCTTGTAGAGAAAACTACAAATATTTTAGCCTGAAGGAAATGTTTAAAGAAGACTGTGCCTGTAAAACAGGAGGGCAGAGAAGGAGGCACAAGCAAAGCCAGTGAGGCATGTGTCACAAAACAGAGTTTGGCCTTTATCTCAAGGTGAATGTGGAGCCATAGAAATTATTGCCAGCATTTCAATTCCCAGAACACATGATCTCATCTGAACTTCATAACACCCTGAAAAGGCAGGCAGACCAGGGATCAAGCTCATTATGCAGATAGGAAAACTGAGACTCAGCATGGTAAAGTAATTGGCCCAAAGGCTGTTCCTGAATAGTTAGTTAGTAGCCCTACGTCTAAATGGGAAGCCCAGAATCTCCTCATCCACAGTCTCAGGCCTCTCACATTAGACCAATTTATCAAAGACCTCGGGATCTGGCACAATTCTTGGAATGCGTTTGAAAGTCTTTGTGGTGACAGCATACTATCCCATCTGTACCTGCCATGGCTTTTAACTGACTCTCACTAGCATGGGGTTCCTGGATGGTAAAAAGGGCATCCCAGAGAGGAGCAGTAGCATCATCTTAAGAGGTAGTGCAGACTGTGTGAAGCCAGCAAAGTTGGTGCTCTGTGTTTGTGGGGCCTCATTCTTTCATCAGAACAGGAGTTCAAAAAAGGCTGGAGAAGAAGAGACAACATTACATCTTCTTAGAGGAGACAGCATTGACATCAGACTTTGGCCTTGAACAATGACATGAAATTGCACAGGAGGGAAAGGTAGCTGAGCAGGCAACCAAAGCAGAAGAAAGAGCATGGATAAATGCCCAAGAGGCAGGAAAGAATATGGTTTCTGCTTTGGTACAAAGAGTTGAAAATTAGTCTGGACTAGGACCCACTGTAAAAAGTTTGTGTGATAAGAAACAGAATTTCTTCTGTAGGCCCATCATTCCCAGTTGCCACATGTGAAAGATAATGGTAATGTGTGACATGCTTTGAAGGGGACCTCCAGGGCTATATGCAACTCCTGACACACAACTATCACTTTGCCCCCTTTTCTCCCACTTAATATGAATACAAGTGAGACTAACAGTATTGAAAGAAAAAATCTGCACCTCCTATAGTATAATTTTAAGAAAATTATCCACCAACTTCAATGTTTAAGATATTACCAACAAATTACTCTCCATACCTCACAACTGATTACATTATACCAGCTGAGGTAATTATGGTTTATTTTTAACAAAGCTGTAACACAACTAGTTTTGGGAAATAGAAGCTATGCTAAAACATATTGTATAAGAATATAATAAAGTGTGACACAGAGATTGAGTCAAGGGAATAATAATAAAAAATAAATGTATTGAGCATTTACTATGTGCCAGGTTATACTGAAAATAAGCTCTTTGTATTGTGTCTTACATAGTCCTTACATCAACCCTATGATTTGAGCACAGTTACTCCCATTATATAGATAAAGAAGTTAAGGCTCTGGTTCAGCATTATTTTTGGCTCAAACTCAAGATTACTTCTAAATAATAAAGCTTGAACTCAAACTAAAGTATGTTTGTTGCCAAAGCCTACAATTTTGATCACTGCACTATATATTATTTTTTGGAAAGCTGGTTGAATTTCTTAATCTTTACAAAGAATCCCAAGGGTCTCAAAAACAGGCAGCATTATAAATAGAAATAAAGAAGGAACTATATCACAATGGAATTGTCTTCACTACCACCCACTCCAAGAGTGACAGTAATGCCTGGTTTACATGAGCCAATGATTTCCACAGAGCAACCACTTCCTCGCCAAATTTTAGAGAAGTCATGTTGGAAGGAAAAAAAATGGTCTTCT